CCTTGGGGCCTGAGCAACGGGGTGGGTGGTGGAGTCATTGTCTGGGATTGAGCAGGAGCAGGATTCAGAGGGAAGTCAAGGCTTCTCTTGGGAAGATGCTTCATCTGGGGTATTCAGGGTGACTTCTGGCTTGTTGACATTTCTGATTTTTACAAAACTGAAATTTAGATTTATGCCACTTTCAAGGTGAGAATGAGAAATTGCTCCAGAAAGCAATCATCGTATTAATGAAATTTCCTATGGTGGAAACGAAACACTGTGGTTGGTATCAGCCAATCATCAAGACTTTAGTAAATTATGTAAACTAGTTTGGCCACACGGAAAATGTATTGGCGTTTAGCATAAATTTCTCTTAAAAATTATTTTTGACACAGCAAAGCATACATCAATTCCATAGCTTCTACATGATCAATTTAGTGACATGGATTACGTTGTTCAAGTTACACGATCTTTCCCATCTCTTTTTCTGAGTTGTTCCTCCCCCGGCAACATAAACTCACTGCCCATTAAGGTTTCTGCATAATCTTTTGTATTGTTGGTCTTGATTTTATTCCATATAGTTAAATCTTAAAAGCACATAATGCTCAGGACAGATATTCATTACGAGTTACTAAAGTATTGATTGGTATTAAGAAGAATTCATGGAATACTTTTTGTTCGAGGTTTAAAGAGTATCTCTAGGGAGTCTAGACAATAGTTTTGGGGATTCGGGTGAATTTCTTAATCATCACTATCTTCCTATCTTTCTATTTTCTTTATTTTCCTAAGTATCTCTATTTTTTCCAAAGGACTTCTGAAAGGAGAGTCGGACCCAAGAATTTGCTGACAATGTAAGCATCCGGTTGATCAAATTAAAAAAAGGATGTTGGTAACTTTTGTGTATATTTTTCAACTACCGTTAACTCAGCATGATTCTTCTCTAGCCTCTGAAAGAAGTTTGTGGTCAGGAATATTTGATGCAAAATTCATTTTTAAATTAAAAACAAGTATTTTAAATAGAGTTATGGAGAGTGGGAAAAGGCTGAAGAAAACCTGAATTGAAGTAACTTGAATGAAAATATAAATACTGAATGAAGTGTTCTAGGTATGGCATGTCACTAAAGATTCAAATGAGAAAATAAATGTACTTTCTAGGTCAACACATACATTAAAAACCTAACATGTACCCCTCAGGACTAATATTGAGAGCAGCCATACCAGGAGGGGAAGGGGAAGATGGGGGGAGAAAGAGAAAACCGATCACAATGATCGACCTATAATCCCCTCCCAGGGGGATGGACAACAGAAAAGTAGATGAAGGGAGACATTGGTCAGTGTAAGACATGAAAAAATAGTAATAATAATTTATAAATTACCGAGGGTTCATGAGGGAGGGAGGTTGGGAGAGGGAGTGGAAAAATGAGGAGCTGATACCAAGGGCTCAAGTAGAAAGCAAATGTTTTGAGAATGATGATGACAACAAATGTGCAAATGTGCTTGACACAATGGATGGATGGATGGACTGTGGTGAGTTGTACGAGCCCCCAATAAAGTGATTTTTTAAAAAACCAACCACCTAACATGTAATGTTATTTGAAAAGAGAACCAGAATAGAAAAATCCAGACCCATGAAAGTCACTCGGTAGAATCTGGGGATAAGCAAGCCCACAGGTTTATTGGTGAAAACATTTTAAATTGTAGAGGACTAGAGCAATTTAAAAGGAGCCCAGGTGGCACAGCGGGTTAAGTGTTGGGTTTCTAGCCGCAAGGTTAGCAGTTCAAATCCATCAGGCATTCTGAGGAGGAAAGATGAGGTGACCTGCCCTTGCAAAGATTTGTGGTTTCAGAAACAGAGCAGAGCAGCCCCGCTGTGTCTTCCGGGGGTCATAATGGATTGGAGTCAATCCCAGGGCAGTGGATAGGCTTTACAGATTTATAGTCATCTCTTTCTGCTCATTTATTTTGCCTCGAATGTTCTCTAAAGTCAAACATGAAACCCACTGCCATCAAGTCAAATATGGCTCATAGTGACCCACTAGGATAGAGTGAAACTGTTTCATAGTGTTTCCAAAGCTGTCAATCAGCCCTGCCAGCCTTGTGGACAGCAACCAGCACTTCACCCACTACTCCACAAGAATAACAGGAAAAAAATTGGCTCTCTCTACTTAGTGCCCAAATCTACCTACTTGCTTTGCCTCTTATATTCCAGTATGTCATCAAGTGAAATATCAACACCAGGCTGTTTTATTTTATTTTTTTAATGAATTCTTTCTTGTCCTAGAACCAAATTGCAGTACATAAGAAAACAGTTCCCCAAAGTTGGATACAGGTCACATTTTTAAAACTGACCTTTGATGGGGGACACTTTAAGGTAATCCTTTACTGGTACGGCATCTTTTCATGATTTATAACGATCATTCTCATCTCAGTTTTATTGCTATGTATTTTTGGTGTAAATGGCATTAGTCCTTTCAAAAATTAGCATATATTACATTACTGGAACATATGGTCATGCAGCACTAATGATATGAAAATACTACTATTGGGTCCATTCTCTCAAGAACTCTCTATTTTAAAGAGGGAAGGCGGCACAGAAAAATTAATACAAATCTGTGTAAAATAAACTAGAATGCTGGAATAAAGAAGTGGAGGGAGTTTGTGGAAATCTGTTTAGAGATGTTCTTTAAAGGTTAGGGATTAAAGGAATGAAAAGATTTTTAGGTGATTGGCCCAAGATGGATAAGCATTATCTCACTATTGTTTTAATTGAATTAGTATTTTCCATTTTCATTTTCAACTTTCTTCAGCCTCTTAATGTTTGGGTCTTTTCTTTTCTTTTTCCAAATGATTAGGAACTAGGGTAGGGAATGCAAATAACTTTTCTAATAAACTGACTTGTTGCTAAAATGAGAAAGGAGTAAGTGTCCCAAATAGGCTTTACATCTCAAGATCTAGGTCTAATTCAAACCCTTAGTCAGAAGGTTCTGTTGGGTCCCTCCCAAGGTTTGGAGTGAATGGACTATGTACCTAAGTCTGCCCAGGGTTTATCAAGGTGACTCTATTTGTTCATGAACTCTAAGAGTGCCTTAGTGACTTCAGGGAAATATTACAACAATTTTTGGGGCCCTCCAATTTATGTCTGCTGAACATACCAACTTAAATTTCTGAAAGCACCATGCTGTCTGTACTTGAATTGTTCTTTCTAAGAAAATGTGCCATGTTCTGCTTTTAAAAGTACTATATCAACCGTGAACACCACAGGAATTTAAGAAAATATTTCTATGGTACTTGATTCATCTTCATCTAAGGGGAGAGGGAATAACCATTATGAAACACCTACTGTTTTTCTATCGAGTTACAGGAAATAACACCATGAGACCAGATATGTCTTTGTCAAACCTCGTGTGATTGAAGCAAATAATTATATGGAGGTTATCATTACCGTTTGTCGCATATTTGTAGGTTAGTGAGCTGAGTTTGTTATTCCTATCGCATATAGGAATGAACTAGTAAAACAATTTGTAATCATCTTTTTATATACTGACCTCAATTCATTCAAGCCCCTTCTAAATGAAACAATTTCTTCAAAGGCAAAGCAAAGACCATCTTTACGAATTCCAAAACCAGACTGTAAAATAATGCATCCAATTCTTGTGTATATGAATTAATTAGGGTTTCAAGTCCTGTTCCATTGAATATGGATAGGCTTTTATAGGCACATTTTAACAGAGGCGTGTAACAGTTTGTATTCTAAATTATAGACATAGGGAAGACTGGAGTTGTCACACAGTATTGTGTATTAGCCATTATCACGGCTTGCACCATACTCGATAAGTGGGATAGTGACAGCCTGGCAGAATTTGGATAATGTCCAAGTGTTTGTTTCATAGTCCATTATTATAAGATTCTGTAAGCCTATAATTTTGTTTCTCTTAATGTCCATAGATTTCAGATTTTCTGAGGTAATTTTGTTCTTTTCAAATCATGTACGTGACAGCATATCTTCATTTCTGTATTAAAAATTACCTATTTGTAATTATAGACCTTTTTAATTTCCTAGAAAAGAACTTTATCTGAACTAAAGTGTAATAATTGAAGGGCGAGCACAACGTTATGAAAAATTTAATTTAGAGCTTATAGGATTCATTTTATTATTATTAAGGTAAAATTCATTAAATTGAATACTTTGAAAAAGAAAATCAAACCACTGTTTTGTTTTTTTCAAACAGAATTTCTTTCAAGCTTTAACATATGTGAATAAAAAAATCAATTGTTAAGATAACAACATTCCTTAACATTGTTACTGCAGTATTTGCTTTTGGGGAATGGAAACAGAATAATCTGTTCTCCTTTTCTTTGCTTATATGGCTTTTAAAATATGAATCAAGATGTGCATCTAATTATATATTGCCAATAGTGCACACACTGGGCCAAACACTTGCCACTGACTGTCAAGTGTCTTTCTGAGGGAGCTGAAAAGGGAGCGAGAGAGAAAGAGAGAAAGGAGAAAGAAACAGTGATGTCCTTTGAGCAAGACTTTCTGCAGCTGTTGTGTACATTAATCCAGGGAGCAGATCTCCCCGCACTAAATATAGCAAGCATATCCTTTTACATGAGAAAAAATGTTAAATGAAGTCTTGAACTATGGAATCAGTTTATTTTAGATTTGATTTCGTTTAAAAGGGACATAGCCATCCCTCATCTATTCTCCAAATAAACATCATTATTTTAATAAGTGACCATGTGGAAAATGTCACTGATACACATAACATGTCATAACTTCCTCGCTGGGTTATTTTTCTTTAGGACCCAAGTACGGTGTCGTGTCTGTGAGTATCATCCAATGTTTTCACCAAGTGAAAGCTTTCTTTCTCACATCATTGTGGGCATCGTTATACATAATTAAAAGTTACCCTGGGTTTAGCTCTAAGCAATAGTAATCAGGGCTCTGAAATAGCCATTATCCCATTGTCAGTGCCCTGTTATCAAAACACACTTGTGAATTTAAATCTGGATATTACCTTTCTGTTTTTAGTTGACCCAGATGAGGATGTCCACCCCAGGCACTCCACTGCGATGATAATTATCCAAGGAGAAAGTTTAGGTGGACGCACAGGAGAAAAAGAAAATTCTTCAGGCCCCTGGAAGCAGAGAGCGGGCGTCCATAGAGAGTGAGGCGTTAACCTTCGTTTCAGTGAAGATGGCTGTAAGAAGCTGGACAACCTGTCACCACCAAAGCCAGAGCACTTGTCAGCTCGCAGGTCCCAAGTTATTTTGAGCTGCATAAACCATGTGCCTGTGCAACATTCCACCTGATTGGACAGGAGAAAACTGAGCAAAGGGATTCCACGGCAGGCAGTACCTATGGGGGGGGGGGGTGGTAAATGAATTTTTTCCACCTATTCAATATCACTTGTTGGCCGAGGCGCAAGCTGTGTATTGACTTATGTTTGGTATTACTATTAAATCCATCACGCCATATTGTGTCTGTCAAAGAAAAATGACATTTATAAAATGTGTCAAAAATCTTGATTGTGATAAAAAAAACTAAAGCTTTAATTGTAATTAATAGGCATTTTACTCTTTTTTGATCACTGATGTCTTTTAGGAGGTTAGGTTGTAACAAGTTGACCTGAAGCTGAGGCCTCTCTGAAAGTTTGGGCTTTTTGTTTTGTTTTTTAACATTGTCCCACCCACTTTCATCACGTAGATTCCAATTCAGAGTGAACCTATGTAAGGTTTTTGAGATGTGAAGCACACCTTGACGGAGAACAGCCAGCCAGCCTCCTCTGTCTCATGCAGAGCGGCTTGTGGGTTTGAACCCAAAGACAGAGAGGATAGTTAACATTTAAAGTTGCTTTTTGGAACTTGGAAATAATTAAGAGGTAATAAAAACAAAAGCAAAATAAACAAAACAACACCAGCCTGAAATAGAACAGGGATAGTTTGAACAAACATGTTCAGAGGGAAAAAATCAGATAGTGTTTAAAAGTGTCAATGAGTATATATCATATTGCATATCAATTCCTATTCATGTATTCGTAGCTAGGGACACATTTGTGTATGTGACTTTGAAAAAGTCTGCCAGATACCTTCATTCACAAGCATTAGCAGTCAGCAAGAAAGTGTCCGTAATCTAACCAACATCTGCTCACATAACTACTTTGTAAAGTACAGATTCTTAGATAATAACTGCAGATATTTTCAAAAATAAGAATTTGGGGGGGAAAGTTAACTTCATTGTTAATATAAAGTAAGTGAGACTGTAACACCAATCTTGATAGAAAGCTAGGCTTTGAAAATTTAGACTTAAATGCCACTGAATATTTTTCTAAAGGATCATTCAAATATTCTGATTGCATGAAATGTACTGATTTAATTTAATTAAGTCACTCAGTCACTTGTATGATTTCTTCTCATTAATTAATTTATTCCTTCAACAAATATTTATTAAATGCCTATGGAAACAGCAGTAACGGGATCAAGCAATATATTGCGTTTGGGTAAATGTACTTCACAAGACATCTTAACAGAGTTGAAAAGCAAGGGTATTAACTTGAGGACTAAGGCTCCCCTGCCCCCAGCCATGGTATTTTCAATTGCGTTATATGCATGTGAAAGCTGGACACTGAAAGTTGGACACATATGTGTGTAAAAGTTGGAAAACTGAAGAACCAACGCATTTGAATTATGGTGCTGGAGAAGAGGGTTGAAAGTACCACGGACTGCCAAAAGAACCAGCAAACCTGTTTTGGAGGAAGTATGACCAGAACCGTCCCCATGCCACGACCCTTTCATACAGTTCCTCATGTTGTGGTGACCCCAACCATAACATTATTTTCGTTGCTACTTCATAACTGTCATTTTGCTACTGTTATGAATTGTCATGTAAATATCCGATATGCAGGATGTATTTTCATTGTTACAAATTGAACATAATTAAAACAGTGATTGATCACAAGACAATATGTAATTATATATTGTGAAATATTTATTTCTAATTACCAATAAATGAAATTTTGTCTTGAAGCATGGTGTAGCATGGGGAACAGTCTTAATATAACAAGAGTAAGCTACATTGCTACATTTTGAGACAGTATTCATAAAAAGCCAACATCAGTGCGAAGGCTGAGAGAGCTTCTTTCTCACCAGATCGGCCTGTCTGCATGTGGGCGGACCGCCTGGAGACGGCTAGAGGAGCGGGGCCTCGGTTCCCAAGACCATCGGAAAACACATATTTTCGATGGTCTTGAGCGAACCCTGTGAAAAGGCCATTTGATCCCCAAAGGGGTTGCGACAGGTTGAGAACCGCTGCCTCAGAGGAAAGCGTGGTCTGACTTCGCCGCATGTACTTTGGACATGCTGTCAGAGAGACTGGTCCCTGGCGAAGGACATCATGCAATGTCGCTGTGAGTCGGCACTGACCACCACCACGATGGTAGGCTCTGGGTAAAAAGCAGTGTTTAAAACAGAATTCCTGAACTGATGAGCTTCACCGAGATTTTCTTTACCCGTTTCAGTCACCTTGAGACTATATAGTACAAAGAATAGATACAAAATTCCTTTGTTTACTATGATCGCATCAGCGGTCTCACTACACCTTTTGTGGCTGGGTTTTGTGTTTACATAGTAAAGTACAAAATAGAGTTGAGGAACACTTAAATACTCCAGATCAAAAGAGCTATTATTGAGAAAGGAAAAATGTACAGAAGAAACTATCAGACAGGTTATTTTCAATACCACAGTAATCCAGATCTTCAATGAATTTCACTGGCTCTCATCGAATTCTGTGCTGATACATCAGGCTGCTTAATTTTCCTTTTGCATCTTCACTTATGTGGATGCCCCAACCATTTCTTTTTATTAAAAGAGAGGATCTTTCCTCAATAACCCACTTATATCGTAAGACATACAAGCGCTGCTAAGTCGTGGAAGGGGACGTGGGAAAAGTGCTCCTCTGTCTCAGGTAGCTAATAGGTATACAGTGAACCCTCGTTTATCGCGGTTAATCGGTTCTAGACCCTACCGTGATAAATGAAATTCCGCGAAGTAGGATTCCTTATTTGTAAATCAAATATTTTCGTAGTTAGAGCATAGAGGACATGAAAAAACACCCTTTAGTCACCATTACACTCGTATTACCCAATTTATTAAACGAAAAAGGGAAAATACAGTAAAACATTTTGGACGTTACAATTATCATTTATTATTTATTATATTATTTATGGCATCAAGCGTGTACAGTATGAGCCAATCAGTGGCAGTAATGACAGAGCATGCGGTGTTACACAAAAACCGCGATAGAGTGAAGATAGAGTGAAGCCGCGTAAGTGGAAGCGCGAAGTGGCGAGGGTTCACTGTACTACAAACTGATCTTCTAAAGGACAATGCTTCCATCCACGGTACGTGAACGCATTTCCCTTCCTGTACCATTGATAAACCTGACATCCTGCCTGTCACCCAGGTAGAGAATACTCATGTGAATTGGCTGGGTAATGGAACTAGGAATCACTATGTAAAACTTGCATTTGAACGTGGTGCTGGAGAAGAGTACTGAAAGTACCATGGACTGCTAAAAGGACAAACAGATCTGTGTTGGAAGAAGTACAGTCAAAGTGCTCCTTATCAGCAAAGAGGCATTGTGATTGGAGGATGTTGTCAGGAGAGACCAGTCCTTGGAGAAGGCCATCATGCTGGGTAAGGGGCAATGAGGGAGAGGAAGGTCTTCAAGGAGCCAGACACCATGGCTGCAACAATGGGTTCAAACATGGGTGCAATGGCGAGGATGGCACAGGACAGGGCAGTTTTTCGTCTAGTTGTGCATAAGGTTGTCAGGGTTGGAATTGACTCAAGAGCACCTAACAGTAACAACGACAGTGTAGAACGATTCAGGCAATAGACGAGGCTTTCTACTCCTGTAAAGAGTTAACAGCCCCGGGAAACCTACACGGGCAGTTCTGCCCCGTCCTATGGGGTCACTATGAGTCAGAATCGAGTTGGAGTTTGTTACGTAGAACTATAATAGATTTTAAATAGCAAAGAAAGGCGACAGCAGAAGGACTCCAAAGAAATTCTGAATGGCTGTAATCTTTCTCTTTTCATTTTTACTGTATCATTTTCAACACATATAGATATAAAAATTTCTTAGTTCTTTGGGGAAAAAAGAGGGAAATAAATCTCTGAAATTAACAATATTCAGCAACTGTGAAACCCGACTTGTAATATACTAGACTCGTATCTAAAATGTAACTTTTAGCTTTCAATATTAGTTTCTGGTCCCAAATGAACTCAATCCTTAGCCTGTTTGCTTCTCATCTGTAATAACTATGTCAACATTCAACCGCAAGCCTACAGTGAGTCCAGCTTTTACCAGTTAGTTTTCACAAAGAATGGTCTTTCAAACGTATTTGAATGCCCACCGCCGTTCAGAGTAAACTTCCTAAGTGACATACAAACACAAGGGTGCACATCTTAAGGCTCCCCAGGAAGTTGAGTGGCCTATCCAACACATGGGCTTATTGTGGTTTGAACATGATCCTGTGCTTGTCTTCAGCTGTTTTCTTAATTCAGTCACTCAGCTACAGAAACAATTTATACTCACATTGGGATGATCCACCGGGATGCCAAGGAATCTGGAAGATCTATGACAGAGGAAGTCTTCCCTTGGAGGACAAGTATGTGAGAATTTCTCAGTGAGCAGATTTAGGTAAATTTTGGTATTTGTTAATTTTTTCCATATTGATAGATTTTTAATTCCTTAAAAGAAATTGCTTACAAAATAAAAAACTTTAATATGTTTTATTTAAACTTGGTATATTTATATTGAGGTACTCTCTTCCAGGATAAGAGAAAAACACGTACATACACACAAAGTCTGTCTAATTTTAATAAAAACACAGATACGTATTTTCTAACTTTTCTAAGAAGAAAAATTCTTTCCCTAAAGATAGGTTCTTGATCATCCCATAGTCCAATAAGGTCTTACAAAACCCCATAGTAGAATATATTTAGGATATACAACTAAATCTTATAGAATTAAAAGAACTTCTAAATGGTCTTTAAAATGCTTGCTTGGACACCTAAAAGCATCGTTAAAACTATCTACAGGTTCAAAACCTACATAGTTAAAAAAAAAAAAAAA